CTCATATATATATATATATATATATATATATATATATATATATGAATTATTTGTTTTTGACATTTTTGTGCAATTTTCTTATATTTTATGTCTCAATTTGCGCTTCATCAACTCATGTACATAATTTTAACTTTTGGGACATATTAGCGTAATTTATTTTGTGAAAAAGTGTCATTCAAGTTACTTTGATAGACTAATCATGAAAGCTCACTTCTTCTCAAGAGTAACACCTTTGGTCAACATATCAGCAGTTTCCACATAGCCTTGCACCTCCAAGCTATTTATTGGGTTACTCTTGTCTGTGTTTGCAACTCCCACTGCATGAACAATATTTTGCCTCTACTGAAAGTCTTTTCCAACAATTCTAGCCTTGTGCCTCTTATTGTCATCTTGTTCAGTCTTCATCTAGTACATCCACTTGTTGTTTAATGTCTTCTTTCCTGGTGGAAGTTCTGCAGCTCCCACTTGCTTGAACTTTCATCTTTCAAGATTTCTTCATATATCTGTGGTTCTCCACCATCTGTCTGTGGAACAATAGAAATGGGTGCCCTAAACCTACTCTTCTTTTCACTTTCATCATCAACAAGATTATGAACTGCCAACAATAGTGCATCATGTACTTTTTCAGACATCACATTTGCGCTATCATTTTACATCTTCTTAGAATTTCTGTAGTTTCTCTTTATGTGTCCAGCCTTGCCACAATTCCAGCAGGTTGTCAGTTGACCAGCTTTTGATTTTGATCTGCCTCTGAAATCAACATTCAGTGTCGAACTCGTACCTGAGATCTCGCCAGAATCTTTCCTGCGCACCTACTTAGCCAAAATCAAAACACAAATATTATCACATTTCAACTTAGATTTACCCGCAGAATTGCTAACTGTCATTCTCATGGCTTCCCAACTATTTGACAATGATGCCAACAATATCAGCGCAAGTAACTCATCATCAAGATCAATTTCAACATGCGATAATTGATTTGTGATAGTATTAAAATCATTCAGGTGTTGAGCAACAGTGTTGAGCAACGTCATCTTCAAGTTGAATAACTTCTTCATCAAGTACACCTTATTATTCCAACATTGTGTTTTATTGTCAAGTTTACAAAAATGGTTAGGTGAAATTTTTCTAATTATGTGCATAATCTCAGGTTTAGTCTACATTTGTGAAACGTGTGAAGTTCATGCAAGGGATCATCAAAATTTGACAGACACTCGAGGAAATCAAATCAACTCGCCAACGGTGATTCCACATGAGTGACAAAAATCGATAGCAATGGGTAACTTCTGATTGGTAAATTTTTCAAATAACAGACTGTGATGGGTAATGTCTGATAATGATCGACGACGATGAACAACATTCAATAGGCAAAACACACAAGAGTCGACACACAATGCTCGTTTATCGTAAATACTCATGCCTCTTAGCTTAATTATTGAATCATGATTAAGAATAAATGCATAAATTCACTTATTCTTATCACGTCTCTTCTAAGAAGTAAGAGAATTTGGAAACTAAAATATGAATATAAAAATTGTGTCATCACTGATTTTAAGGAGATATAACGGTCCAAAAGGAGCATGAAGGATGGCCAATTGATAGAAGAATGTGAGGTTCACTTACCTGACCGAGTGCAACCGTTTGAGCCAAAGCCAAAGCCGATCGAGCCACGAGGAGGACCAAAGGACAACCCAATAATACGAGCATGAACCATTCAGACAAAAACAAGACAAATAGGCATCTGATCCAATCACTATAGGAAAGCCAACCCATTATAGTAGCCTACTTTCTAGTAGATTTGATCTGAGGAAAGGCCTAGTTCTATAATATCACCAACCATCCCATGGATGGTCACGAGGCTCTTCATCAAGGGTCACGAAAGAACAATGCAACAAAGAGTCTTATAGTCTTCTCTCAAGCTTCTTTTGAGGAGCGAACTACTTATCTGGTTACAGTGTTTCACCCTCTGCTTGATAGACTAGTATCGCTCTGTCGATAAGATCTCCTCACCAAAGATCGAGGGTTGACAACCATACTAGATTAGCCGATCGACACTACCGAACAAGCCTAGCCTACCGAACCAGTTCTGTCGACCGGAAGTCAATCAAACTCAACCAACGGAGGCAGAGCAGTCGAGTGATAGACTTGTACATGTAAAATATCAAGAATACCATATATAGCTCCCATTAAAGTGGAGGGAAAAATATAACATCATCATATTGTACTCTCCCCTATAAATAGAGACATAAATTTATGAATAAGGGATAGTCAAATTGGCCAGAAAGAACGAAAAATGTCAACATGATTGACAAGATTGTTGTTCATTACTATTCACCACTCTCTCTCTCCCCCTCTCCATTTTTATGACCTATTCATTGGGTTGTGATTCACGGGCAAATCAAGATTCAACATTTGAATTTAGTTAACTGAGTCTATCTCTTATTTTATTCTAATGGGTAAGGTATTAGAATGAGCATTTGAGGGATATTCAACAAACCACGCATGCCCCTGTAACATATTGCATTAACTCGTGGAGGTAGCCTTTGTTGTCCTGATCCTGATTGTTGGCTGTCATTTTGCCACGTTACTTCAGCTATTTTTGTTGTGCTTTTATTCATGTCTACGTAACGGACATTTCATTTGATTTTTATTTTGGCTTATATTAATTCAACGAGCAGTCTGATTTTCTTCGTCCATACATTTCTGTCTTCCAATTATGGGGATTCTTTCCTGAATTAATTGCACATTCTTATCATGTATTTGTCACTTCAGTTATCAATCGCCATCGTTCTCCGCTTGATTGGCTCGTTGTGGATAATGCTGATTTACTTTCTGTTCACTCTATCTTTATAACTTCATTTATATAATATTGGTCATGCTCTGTCATCTTATGGCATGAGGCATATTTCCTCATGGTTGGGATATTATGAAATAAGTTAATGAGTTGTTTGCCTCATTTGTGTGTGTGTGTGCAAATACCTGCTTTTTTGCTTCATTTTAAATTTTTTTAATATAGAAAAGTGTCAAAATGGTCCCTAACTCTTTGTAGGGTGCTACACTACATTTATAGGCATTTGACAAAATTTTGTTTTGTCAAATTTTTCAAAAATCTACGGTAGGAAGCTGCATTATCCAACCTAACCTGGCTTAGTATGGTGGCTGTCATAAATTAATGATCTAATTTTTTTAAAATAAAATAAATATAATAGCCCTCACAATTTTTCAAACAATAATTTTCTGTAGCAGCTTCATAGATGTTTCTTCAAACAGCTGCAATTGCCCCAAACAGATCCTTAGCCTCAGAGTCTACTCTCATATTCTTCTAATAAGAGCTAAAATAGTTCTCGTAGAGGATTATTTTAGCCATTATTAAAAATATGGAAACTAATTTGACATTTTTAAAATTTTAGGACTAGAATGATCGCATATAAATAGTCGGGATAATTTCTTGCACTGAGCACCATTTTAATACTATTGAAAGTATCTCTATGCCAACCTTCATTCTTTCTTGCCTCGGATGGACTTTTTCCTATTAACTTTGCCCCTAATATGTACAGTGGCGATCAACTTTGCTTCTTAAGACGCCCCTAATATCAGCGTGATGGATTCATTCTCCTAAACAGTTGGAAAAGTGTGCAGATCTTCAAAGATTCAAGCCATTTGGTGCGAGGTAAATATTTAATTATTATTGTATATTTATTCTGCTGCTGCCTATAACTATTTGTTTTTTTTTTTAATATTGGAATTATATGCGCTTTGAACCTTTGTAGTCAGAATATGTAGGCTAATATAATAGAATCTAGAAAACATATATGAAGGAGTAGAAATTAGTAGAGTTCACCCTTGAAATAGAATATTCAGGCTTGAAACATACACTAAATACTAGCCTCTAACTTCTCTCACTAGTGCCCAATTTTGAAAAAAAAGGGGGCATTTACTTACATACCACATAATTCCTATGTATTTACCTATCTAACATCTGCTGTCTTTTTTTACATTTATTATAATATATATAAATAATAATTACATTCAGTAGATAATGTGTCGGAAATATTATATTTTTACTGGATGACTGGTGATGACCGATTGATGAGGGCCGACTAGTGGAGATGGTCGATTAGAGGGAAAAAATTTGCGTATGTCAAGGGTTACGCAGAGAAGCGTACATAATAGGGTACACGGGCGTTATATGAGAGTTACATGGGGGTTACAAGTGTGTTATAACTTCCTTGTAACTTTCGTGTAACTCAGTTGTAACCTGCGCTTTTATTTTATCCATTGAGATTATAAGGTTACAGCGGGGTTACACGGGAGGTTACACGGGAGTTACACGGGAGGTTACACGGGAGTTACACGGGAGGTTACACGGGAGTTACACGGGAGGTTACACGGGAGTTACACGGGAGGTACAACTGGTTATAACCCCCTCAGCAGGTTATCTGGATAATTGCAGCGCACGAAAATTTCTGTCATACAAATAAAAAAGTTAAAAACAACCAAGAAAAACTCTCAGGAAAACCAAAAAAACCACCCGCTACCAAATCAAAGGACTACAAATTCTCAACTCCAGAAATAATAATAGACCCTTAACTGCAACTAAATTTATATAACAACTTATTCAATATAAAGGCCATATTGCAAAGTCATAAACTTGTTCTTAGCGTGAAACTAAGATGGAGTCAAAAATAGAGCCTGCAAATACTATTTCTTAGAAAAATCCGGCAATAAATTCCAAAAAGCACCGCACCAACGAAACGACAAATAAATAAGTCATCCAGCACTTCACAAGCATGATTCACATCACACAACAATTCCACCAAAACACATAGTCGATATAATCGAAAACATTAAGAATCTGCAATACATTAGTAATTAATAAATAGCAGCAACGACACTAAAGGAAAAATCCACAATTCTCGTGAGGAAGGCGCTGCGTCACTGCGACCACCTGTAATCAATTTAGAGCAAACCTTCCAGTTAATCTTTAATATAAATTAATTTAGAGTAAACCTCCTATTTAATTATAATCAGCTTAATTAATTTCTTATTAATTGTTATTCTTATAAAAATGAAATTTAATAAAAAAAAATCCAACTTAATTTAATTTAATAATTATATCCTTGTCTCATAAAGTGGGAAATTAAAAATCAACTAAAATATGCTAAAATTTATTTATTTTTTAAAATAAAATAAATAAATAAATGAAATGAATTTCTGAGAAAAACTTGAAAAATAAAAAATATTTCTTTTAATTTAGTTGCTATGAGTACAAATTTTTATGATATCAAAAGCATCAATCATTGTTTCTATATTTAAACTCATTGCAATATCATTTTTAATATATGTTATTTATTGTACTCCTAAGAAAATCACTTCAATTTTATTTTATAACATCGTCTTGACAATCTTCGCAGTTGAAAGTGCACGTTCAATTGTTGTTATTGAAACAGGTAGTGCCAAAATTAATATAATTAAAGGATCAATAAGATGATGTGCTAAAATCAAACCAATCAAAATAAGAAAATATACCAATGATTTCCTGATTTTATTATTTAAGCTAACACTTGACATAAATCATATTGTTGAAAGATTCTAAAAGAGTGATTCTAATAAGCTTCAATTTTAAAATGGTTTGATTAATTTTTTTAGTGTAGAGCGTTATGTGTAATTTTCATGCACATAACGCTTAATTCCTATGTATTTACATATGTAACATCTATATTTTAATTTTTACATTTATAATACCTAAATCATTTATCTCACATTAAAAATATCACCATTTTAACTTTTAAAAAATAAACTACACATTTTTCATGCATCTCTTTGAAGGTATATGTATATAAAAAATTGAACTTTAGGTGTTACATATGTAAATACATATAAATTGAGTGGCATGTTCGTAAATCTTCCTAATAGATAATATTCAGACAATATTCGTTTATCTCCTTAACATGGTTGTACTGGGCGAAAAAATGATTTAAAATCATATTTTGTTATGTAATAAATTTTCATAATTCTCTTACCAATATTATAATATGTAGTACGTTATGATTGTGCTTATAGTACATTATGGTTGTGCTTATTAAAAAATGATGCTAAAATCATGTTGAACTATAGATCAAATGTTTTTGAGCTCTTACACATATTATAACATGTGATATAACATGGTTGTACTTCTAAAAATATGATTTGAAACCAAGTAGTATTATAGAACAAATGTTCATAATGCCCTTCTATTATAATATGTAACACAATATGATTTAGGGTCAGAAAATGATGTAAAGTCATATTGTATTCGAGACAAAACGTTTATAAAGTATTTACTAAAGAATCACGATATCAAAACAATTATGTTCCACTAAAGAAAAAAATGATTTATAACCTTGTTTTGCTTTTTTACTCGTGTAAAATATTGTAAGAATCATTTCCATTGAAGAAAAGAATGATTTATAAACATGTTTTGCTAAACAATAACAAACATAATAATCGAATGATTCTTTTAAAACATGCATTGATAGTTTATGAAGGAATACTCAAGTAAAGATCACTTCCAAATTTTCTAGGAGAATAATGTGTTTGTGTTCCATTTTCATGACGAGATCCATTATTTTTCTTCTTTTACGGTTTTGCATCAATATAATATTGAGACAAACTCTAAAGGATGCATTTTTGTATTCTCCAACTTTTTCTTCCTTTTTCTTCCTTTTTATCTTCTCCAGCTTGGGCGGCGTCCAAGAATAAAAATTGTTAGGTATACTGGGGTGTTATTCTTGAGAAGCTGAAGTTGTGCTCGACTTCAGCTGGTTTTTTGTCATGCAGATCGAGACTTTGAGTTGCAGAGGTGGAGGATATTATTTTTAAAGAAAAGAGCAATTTGTTGTGAATATGAAATCATGATGCAGTCAGTGTATCGGTCTTCAAGTGAGATATTTGTTGCGAATATGGAAACCAGATCACTGATCAATTTGACATTTTGTCATGTTTGACAGCAAATTGAATTTGATACTCAAAATTAATTGGTTATATAATATATATATATAACATTTTCAAATCTCAATTAGATCCAAACATATGTATGAGAATGTGTAATTCATTTTTTAAAAGTTAATATTAGTGCTATTTTTATATGATTTTAAAATTTTGAATATTATATAAATAAATATTAAGATTGGATTTATAAAAACATAAGAATTACGAGTTTTGTATGTAAATTTGTCTTAAAGCTTGAGACTTATTTATGAATATGAGAGATAAAGAGTTTATCTATTTTTAAGAATAATTCTCAATTTAGATTTTTTTTTGAATTTGTGCCCTCTGAAAATGACCAAAGTTAAATTTGGAAATTGTTAGGCCCTTCAATGAAGGATTTGAAGTTTTTTAATTCTAATTCAAGGTTTGATTTGGGCTTAATTGCACTCGAAGTGGAAAAATTTTAGTGGCATTAGAGTAATCTTGGTTGGATGATGTTATAAATTTGTCGAACGTGGAGCTTAGATGACCATGAGTTTGAATTTGAAAGTAATTTCATTCAATGTTTTGAGATTCATTCCTAATCAAGTGATTTTTTCATAAACACATTAGCTGACGTGGAGCTTTTATCACTGTGTGTGTGTGTGTGTGTGGGTTTGAATCCCTTTTGCCACAGTTGGCCTTAAGGAGTTGATATTCGAGCACTCAAATTGTTAGACACATTAGAGGTGGCTGGAGGCTCGTATAATGGCTTCTGGCCATCCATCATATAACTAGTAGTCAAACTCAGGGGAGATGAACCTTATTATTGAGCTAGTCCTGGCTGCAGAGCCTTCTTGTATGAGTCAAATGATTTTATTTAGAGATTCTTTCATCCTATGAGCCAGGTCTCTTAAGGGCATCCCTGTTGCATCTTTGTCAATAGGGTATTGCCTATCAAGGAAAAAATATGCAATGGCTTGATGCACTTGATTTAGAGATTGATTCCTAAAATGGTGAGCTTTAAGGTCATATTTTTTAGATGTTTAACTTAAATATAAATTTGCTAAAATTAGAGCTTGAATGATCATTAATTTAAATCTAATATTTATTTCATTTAAAATATGTTTATATATATA